ACCTTGGTAAAAAAACAAATTGTACATCTTTTCAGCATTTCAAGCCTTACCCATATGGTAGGGTTCTAAGCCAGGCTGCATGTTCTTGTGCAAAAAGCCCAGATCTTGTTTCCCATTGTAGAGGAAAAAGCAAACAGATAGGTGTTTGCTCTCGGAGGGTTTTTTATTTAAGGCAGAGGAAAACCTGCTTCCCTTTTACGGGAGGAAAACCGCGCATCCATTTTTGCAGCCTGGATTTACTTTGGGGACGGAGGGGTAAGCACAAGTTGGTCTGAAGGTTTTAGTTATATAAGTGGGGTTTTTTCCTTTCCTCTGCGAGTGAGAGCCAAGCGAGGGAAAGGGCAGCTTTCCAGCAAAACTAAACCATCTCTTGCAGGTGGAGATGGCATCCGTTTCAAACAGATACGCCGTCTTACACCCAAAGCCTGCGTGCCATGGGGCTGGTGAGAGGGGGCTCCCGGCCCCACTGCGTCCATGGGTCACCCCGGGTTGCCACAATCCCCTGGGTGGGAATTGCAGAGTCAGCTACCTCTCCCCGAGCCCAGGACTGGGGTAGCCCTGGAGGAGGGTCTGCGGCACCTCCTGTGGCTTTACTTACTTTTTCCATGGGATGAGATCACATCCGTAACCTCGTGCATCGCAGCTTTTAAGGAACTGGGTTTTTCTCTTATAGAGTGTGTCTCCAATAAGACGTGCGTGGTGCCGGCTTGTGGGTGACCTCCTTTTGTGTATGCAAAGGGTAAAAGGGGTATGGTTCTTGCCAAATACCACGTCTTGGCGGCGGGTCCTGTGCTCTCTCACGTGCGAGGCACCTTTAGACTTGTGACAGTCCTAAGCTGAATGGAGCAAAGAAGTGTCAGTATCTCTGCGGCAGCAATCGTCACAAGAGTTATTTGGTGCGGGAAACTCATGAGACATCTTTCTAGGAGACCGGTCAGGGCATTTTCTGACATGTTTGGAGAGGCATAGTGTCTGTGGGTACAGTGGAAGCTCTGTGCCTTAGGGTTGTTATGCGATGGTACAATTTGACTGTCAAATCCTGCAGGTCCATGCAAAAAAATGTTTTCTTTGGGGAGAAGAGTATGCGCTCTCAGCCCATCCTTATTTTACACCTATTAACAATCCTTTGTTGTATTTTAAACACTTTCCTCTAGTGTTTTGCAAAAGGTAATGTATTGAATTGCTAAACAAAACAGCTAAAATTTAATACACGCCCCTTGTTCCCTGTCTCCTTAAAATTTTGAGACGGCGTAGTACTGCTGCAGAATCATTCTTGTGTAATTTATTAAGATTTCAGTTGTGAACATACATACTGCATTGTCTTGCCTTACTGCAGTCAGTGGAAGTTTTGCACCTGGTTTCAGTAAGAGCAGGTTCAGGAAGAGGCACCAAGAATGGCTTCCATTTGCATGGCTACTTGAGGCACACAAAATGGTGGCATCACTACCATTTTGTGTCCAGGGTGGTGGACACACCTTGACCCTGGACAATAACCCTGGACCTTTCCCTTTTTCAGTGCGCTGCAAGCCTTTCCCCCAGGTAGTTGGAAAGAAGATGGGCTCCTTTGGAGTTGAGGAAGGGGGAGGACAAGGAGGTGCCATAAACCCCAGGATGGAGATGAGCTGCCGGTTCAGGGGACGGTTCCAAAGCCTTTAAGGTCTTGCTGTGGGTTTTATTACCAGAGAGCCCAAGCCCCGAAAAGAGATTCATCCCTTCCAGTGGAAGTGAGAAATACAAGAGCTGCAGCTTTAGAAACTTGTGTTATGGTATTTTATAATCTGGCTTTGAATAATGTGGTACTTACTTACCATTAAAGATCTTAAGGGATGAGCGTGAATATATTTGTTTATTTATTTGTTTGAATTCCATTTAGTTTCTAGCCTGCAAGTCCTATTAATGCAAGTAACCATTGCTTGCATGAATAGTTTCATTAACTGCGTGGAGAAATGTTACATGTAAATAAAGGTCAGCAGATTAAACTTCTTAAATTTTATTTTAAATCAAAAACATGCCTATTTAGCATGTTCTGTAAAACTTTGTTATAGTATTAAAATAATCTAATAATACCGCACTGGCAAAGAAAAGTAGCTTCCAAAAGTCACTTAAAAGAATTTTAATAATATGAAATGCGTACTACTTTTGTTTTCAAAGTTTCATTTGCTAGTCTGTGTATAAAGCCAGTCTGTTGTCTTGCTGTGTCAAATGATGGTAATTTTTCTTGCAGAGACTTCACATAAGAGTAGTGCCTTTCTTTTTAACCAAATTCTGTACCCATTTTGGGACGGAGACGCCACATTAATCTTTTTTGATGAAGCTTGTTTTTCTGTCTGTTCCAGAGCAGTTACCGATCCTCTTCTCATTGAATTCACGTTCATTTAATCCATTTAAACTGGAGTGAGACCAGTCCTACAAAATCACTGCTTCTGCAAAAAAAGGAATTCAGGTTTACAGCTGGGTATATACCTTATATCCACATGGCATATCTTTGTACAGGGTGTTGAATATGACAGAAACTAATGGGAAAGCTCTATATGGAGCAAAGGACTCACTCTTACAGAGAGCTCTGGTCTATGTTTTTGGATGTTACTCAGTTCAGAGTCTTTGGGAATCAGTAAACTGGGCTTCATGTCATTCAGGAGTCTGTGATTAGCTCACTGCTACTTCCCTGAAATCCCTAGGACCTTTTCCTGGAACTTTTTACTTGCTTTGCATCAAGCTGGTTAGACTTTTAGCTTGTTTAAATATTTCTCCTGTGGACGAAATGACATTAAAAATATGAATGTCGTTATTTTCTCAAAAGCTAGATGATGAATACATGTGCTATTTAATAACGATTCTTTTTAAACAGTAAGGACTTGTACGTGGAATGCTATTCTGTATTCTGTTTCAGTTTGCACTTGTACAAGTAATGGACTAACATACTGTGTTATTAGTATTCATGACATTTCCTTAATAAAACTTTTCAATGAATAACTTTATAGTCAGGATGGTAGTTAAACTTCATAAAGTTAAGTGAGTAGGATTCCCCAACAGAAGGTTTCAGGCTGCATTTTAAGAAATGTCTTGATTGTTCACATTTTTAGGGTTATTTTTGTTACATTAATTTAAAGCTAACTGCCTGCACCAATTAGTTCAGGTGAGGTATTAAAGCACAGAAATTTGGCACTGTTTCGCAGGCTAAATATACAAGGCTCGCAAAAAGTACTAAGATGCTTTCTAAAATAGCATTTATTTTATAATTACTAGGATATATTTAAAGCTAAGTGTGCATACATATATTTATGGTATGTGTATATATATACAGTTTTGCAAGTTGGGAAAAGCATGACAACACATTTGTTACATCAGCCAATATGGATTAACAAAATCTCTTTAAGAATTTATTTTTCTAAGAATTTTATCTGTTGATAATTTTACAGTTTCAGGTATGTCTGTGTAGTAAGGAGTAGTAGAATATTCTCAATGAAAAAGATTGCTGACTTTTTTTGATAATTTACTATTGCAAAATTAGTCAGGTTTGAGTGGTTATCATGAAGAAAAACTCCTTTATGATTTAATATAGTTGAACGTGCTAAGTTTCTGTAAAATAGAAGTAGATGCTTAAAAAATTAGTTGGAAACTGTGCATAATATAAATTTTATTTTTTGTAGAATTTCAAAATCGAATTTAACTTCTCTAGGACTTTGACCAGTAAGAGTATGTTAGTGCCAGGAACTGCTGGCCCTTAAAATAAGCATGGTACAGAAAATTATTGTAACTTTGGTGGGAGTCAGGAAGGGACTACTCTGTTGCTATTTCCTGTTCATGTGTCAGGTGAATTTTGTGAATTTTTGATCTAATAGAATACTTACTTTTAAAAAGGTTTGGGAACTCTGCATGTCGCTGCTATTTGGTGAGACTAGAGCATGCAAAGAATCTTGCTAACAAAAACGAGTTGTGAAACTTGCTAAACTTTTCTCCTGAGTTTCTGTTGGGGTCCAGGGGCTTATACTGGTACGTAGCTTTCCCAGTAAAGAACATTTGGAGCTGAAAGGCAGAAAGTTAGGAAGTTAGCTTTTTATAGAAAGCAATGGTTCCAGTGCTGCCACTATCCCGACTGCTCAAAGAGCCTGTCAGTGTCCCAAGCAACTGTTGGAGTAACGCAGCCTCCTCGGGGTCAGTCACAGGATTCTGGAAGCCTTTTCCTCCATTTATACTATATTGCTGTTTGGGGCGGAAAAAGGTTTTTTTAATTAGTTGAAGGCACATTCTGCTCAGACTTTTAAAGCCAGTTCATTAACTTTTATTTTTACAGATGCCTTCCTGCACGCATTTCATAAGCGTTGATGCTACCCCAGAATGCTTAAGGCTACATCAGCACTTTCAGAAATAAAGATTCAGGATTTTTTGCTAAACTCTACCAAGGCTGAATGTACATTGTCCCTTTTTTTCCCCAGATACAAGGTTTTCAGAAAAAGGATCATAAAACAGTAGTCTTAATCCTCCTGACATTTAATAAATAGCTTCAGAAAATGCTTAGTAGCCAGCAAATGATTTATTTAAAGCCTTTATGAAAATACAGTAGCACAAGTATTACACAAATGCAGGGATAATAATCATGCCTACTACTAACAGGCCACTGTAAATTTTGTGGTCGAACTGAAATGCATGAGGTGAAACTTTTTTTATTCTCTCCATCCATATTTGTGCTTCATTGTTGTAAGAAAATAAGGAAAGTAAATTGGAAAAATGTCTTTCTCGAAAGGTCATGGTCAAAACTGCAAACCGTGGAAAACATTTCAATACAATCAAGTTCTCAGATTAATCCTTTCATTTTCAGCCTTTTTTCTTTCCTAATCCCATCAGCATTAGATCCTGCAAGTTCAGAAACTCAAGTGGAAGGAGATTTACCAAGTTTAGTTCTCAAACCTGCACAGACTTCAGAGCCATAGCAAGAATATGTCCGTGCCGTAAAGTCTGACGAGTGCATCGTTTTAGACCTCTTGTAAAATGTGTTTTAGCTGTCTGTTGGGGGTGGTTCTGTCCTCCACCTTTTATGGGGCAATTCCTGGCTGATTAACTTCCCGAGCCGCGTGCACGCTCCGGTAGCTGCTGCTGCGGGCTGCCTGGCAGGCCGTCGCGCAAGCCGTCCTCTTTGCGCGCGGAGCTTGCATGGAGAACGTATACCGCTGCTGCTTCGTCACGTACACGTGTATGTACGCAAAGCCTAAGGCTGGAGCCGGCGTTTTTTGGTGTTCAGGGCGGCTGTTAGGTCATATTATTGATAATGCCGGATAGGTGCGTGTTCCTAACCTGGGAATCTACATGGATTAAAGTAAAAACAAAGATCCAGTCCTCAGTGATCTCACGTGTTCCGTGTTACCCGTTCCCATTACGGGAGGAAGCGTTGCTGGCAAGGAGAAATATTTGCAGCGGCGGGATCGTGCAGTGACCAGCCTTTGTCCTGGCGTGCAAACGGGGGAGTACGAGGAATTCTCATCTTTCTGGTACGACACCGCTGCCCAGGAGCAAAGCAAAACGGGGCTGTGGCCAGAGAAGGTGGTAAAGTCAGTCACAGGTGACCGAGGTCGCCTCAGGAGCTCCTGCTTTCACCCGGTCGGAGTTGATCCCCGCGGAGAGCCTGAGCCAGGGCCCGTGCTGCTCCCTGGGAACGGTCGCTGGCTGGGCCCTTCCCTCCTCCCGCCGCTCCCCCGGCGCCCTTGCTGCGCGGGCCTCTCGCGCCGTCGTCCCGCACCGCACCAGTGGTTCCGAGGAGAATGCGTTTCCGCCTTTCCATTTCTTTCACCGTTTTGGCTCTCGGGAGGTGGTAGTCACTGCATTCCTTCGGCGTGTCCGAAAACCGGCGGGGGAGGCGCGGCTTCGCCCTGTCCCCAGTGCATTCTGGTTGGAACAGCCGTGGCCAAGCCTAGTTTCTGTAGTCTGGGGATCATTAGCCTGCACGACACAAAAGAGCGCAGTGATTTGTACGTCAACAGTCGCTCTTCTTGCCATAACACTTCATTGTTCTTTTCCCCTAAATCTGTAATTACATGTCTTTGTCCTGCTACGTGCTTGCTTCACAACAAATACAATTCTTACACAGGCTTTGTGAGTGAAAATAATCCCAGTCAGTTAGCAGAGATCATAAACTTGCATTGCGTGGGAGCAAGTGGTTGTAAATGATGGATTCGAATTTTGGGGTGTCGCATCATCCTTTTCTCTAATGTAGTAAGTTCTCCCCTGGTACCTCTACGTGCTGGTGGGCTCCTTTAGCCAAGCCAGAGGCTGGAGGTCACCGACACCTAGAGCTTTGTTCTGCTTGGGCCTTAATACTCGAATTTAAAGTTTCCAGGAAGGTTGCCTGTGAATAAGCTAGATCCACTACATGTGCTGTTTAAGTGCTCGCACTTGGAGAAGGGTGTTCATTAAAAGGCAATTGTTTCAGTTGGTTTTTCAGGCCGATTCTCCATTAAGGAAGATCTGTGGAAAAGGTTGGCAGGCAGGAGAAAGAGGAAAGAAAGTCAGGCTTTTTGGTCTGTGCATTCGAGGATGTTGTGGTGTTGGCTGTAGCTCTAAAACATGCACTTTGCCTTAATTGGAACAAATACATCTTGCAGAGAAAGAAACAAACAAACCCGCTGTGGCTTTTGTCCTTGTGAGAATAAGGGTCCTCGTTTCGTGGATGAATCAGTACTATAAGTAACTATTTATGTTTTTCTTTTGTGAAGAAATGGTGAAGTTTGCCTATTAATCAATACAAGTAGGAAAACTAAAATACCGAGTCTAACCCCAAACATCACTGCCAGTTTGTGTAAGAAGTCTTCAATGAAAAAAAAAAAAAAGCACACCCATGTTTCACTTGTATCACAAGAAAAAAAAAAGCTAAAGTAATGACGGTAATGGTGGAGTTTATGAAGAGAAGAAATCACTGTAGTGTAGCGGTCACACTGTCTTGGAAAAGTGTTTTATCAGAAGCATGCGTGGTCCTTGGGTCAGGTAGATCTCTGCCCTCTCCAGGTCTGTAAGCATGGTCCTGGCGAGTGACTGATGTTCCTTTCTGTTATACTAGTAACATCAATCAGCATCTTAATATGTTGTTAACTCTTAAAGTCTAAGCTGTTTCCTTTCACACATGGCTGCTCAGGGGGTTTGAAAGATTTATCCTTGTCATTCTCCCATGTCCAAAATTAGCAAAATATGTGCAAGGATAGTAGAAATGTTAACAAAGCTGAAAAACAGGATTGTAGCCCATCAGACATTGTACTAGCTGCTGTAAATGGCCAAATGTGGAAGGAATGGTAGTGCCTGCCAGAGACGTAAAACCTTCTAGAGTTCCCCAAACTGGGATGAAGACTATAAAACTCAATCCATCTGTAATTTCCAAGATCTAAATAAACATCTTGTTGATATTAAATTGAGTCAGGCCCAAACTATTAAGATCTGGTTTGCTCAGTCTGTCATTTTGGTTTTGGAAACTGTGTGTTTGTTCCTTTCTGTCCATTGCAATTGCTACTTTTCTGGATGAGGTTTTATCAAGTGTCTCACATTTTCCCTTTTTTCTTTCTCCTTCTCTCCTCTTTTCTTTCTTTCTTTTTTTAGATTCCTTCCTGGACAAGGATTGGTACTATATCCACAGATAGGAGACAAACTGGACATTATATGCCCAAAGGTGGACTCTAAAACTGTTGGCCAGTATGAATATTATAAGGTCTACATGGTTGATAAAGACCAAGCAGATAGCTGTGCTATTAAAAAGGACAATACACCTCTACTCAACTGTGCCAAGCCAGATCAAGACGTTAAGTTTACCATCAAGTTTCAAGAGTTCAGTCCTAATCTCTGGGGCCTGGAATTCCAGAAGAACAAAGATTATTACGTCATATGTAAGTTCCAACTATCAGTTGTTCATTCTTTTAAATATAATTGTTCGTTCTTTTGTATGTTGTCTTGTACGTTATAAGAAAATGTGAAAATCTAAGGAGAATGTGAAGGGGTTTGTATTTTTTTCTCTGACAATATTTTCTTGCCATCATATTTTTGACATTATTCCTGACTTCCATGGGGCCTCTGTCTCTTTCCTCCTCGGTTTGTGTAAACCAAATTAGATGGTTATTTGTATGCCTGTAAAAGGCTTCTCCTTTTGTGCATAATGTCATGTCCTGTATTCACAAGGGAAGTTGTGTGCAGCTAAACCGTGACGTGTTTCCTGCTCACAGCTCTGCTGATGTGCCATGCTATTGGCCTTGCTCTCAGGTGTCCTTACGCCGGGAGTGGGGAGTGAGGAGTAGGGTGGTCCGGCCATTCTGAGCTGAGGAATCCTACATGAGATGGCTGGCCGTTGCTCCGAGTGGTCCAGGGATTCTCACAGTGACCTTTTGGCTACTTTGGTGCCAACTTTGGCAGTGTCATTTCCCCACCAGGGTTACTGATGGGCTCTAGTTGAGCGTGCCTAGCTGCAATACGTACCTACGGTGTCCATACAGTTGCTAGGAGGGTTCTTGGGCAAAACCTAGACTAGCATGATCTCAAGTTTGCTCCTTTTTCATGGTCCTGGACTTGTCAAAAGAATGTGCGTGACACTGGCCTGTGTCCAACAGTATAAACTTTGCATGAGTTGTAGTCTGATCAGGGACTTATGGCTGAAAGCGAGTCTGGAGGTAACCACTGTGTTTAGTGATTCAAATTACTTATGATGTGTAAAGTTAATGATGTGAATCAGGAGTTAGCATAAGCTGAGACCTCAGCAGTACAACAACAATTTACATTAGTTTAGGTTTTGTCATTGTAATACTATGGCCTGCAGATCTCATTTAGCCCCATGGGGACTTTTTAAGTCTTGAGCAAGGATCACCAGTTAGTAGGAGATGGACAAATTCTGTGCATTGGCTTTTCTGCGGTTACAAGGGAGTTAGATACCTGTGTGTCTTATTTCTTGCACCTTCTTGAAATTAGAGGGCTGATACCTATTTCATGTAATGTCTGCCATTCTAAATATTTCTTAATTGCTTAGTTAAAAATATTGGTAATTTTACAAGTGCTTTAAGCAAGCATTTTTAAAATGGAAATGGAAACGCTTTTAATATAAATTTATGCTCACTTCCCAGTTACATCCATAATGGTACATGCTGTCATTATGTATAAAACAGGTTATATATCACAGAAACTGAGTTAAGAATTCACTGTATTAAATATTAAATATATAACTTATTAAGTTGTGGGAGATACAAAATACCATTTATTGGTTTTTAAGGTTTGACAAAAAGATAGCTTAATGTAGGTGCTTTCTGTATTTACTCAGGGGGTATATAAAAACCTGATCCCACTTACACAGCATTTAACTTTAACAAACTTCCCACTGAAACCCAGTACCAGGGTAAAAGCGGCAAGATTAGATCTTGAGAGGTAGTTGTCTGTAATTCCAGTGAAAATGTGTAGCATAAAAATGCCCATCCTCAAATAGTTGGCTTTAATGATGAAATATGTTCAGTATTTAGTGCTGCTTTTAAAAACATCCCCAGCAGACCAGCTGTAGTGGAACAAATGGCACTTTTACAATTACTACTTGAAAATTATGGCCACAAATGGAGCTTTCTGATACCCTGTCAGTTCTGTCATATCTATGTCATGGATTTACCCAGAGAATTATTAAGTATGTCTCCTTTTCATTAGTTTTGTATAATTATTTCATTATAGCAATAAGACATAATAGATGTTACATTTCCTGGAGGATTAGAGTATAGTTTGGTTGAAAGAACTCGCTCAGCCTTCAACCTAATGCCTCAAAAATCACACTAGCCTTGCAGTAATACTGGAGTGCCTTAGGATATTACTTTCCCTGCTCGTTCTGGCATAAACAAATGGCTAATTTATCACTGTATTGCTAGCATACCAACCAAGCTGCAGCAGCGGTACCCATACATTTTAATAGGTTGGACAAAAAAAACCCACAACAACCTGAAAACCCAGCCATCCTGAAGCTAAAACTCTTGCTTTTCTATCATTCAGGGAGAAAACAATGAACTCAGTGAGGTCGGTCTCAGAAACACTAAGAGGGGTAGAAAACTAGGCCAGGGCTCAGCTAGGACACCATTTTACAGAGATACTGGAGCTAGATAGGATTTTAACAGTTTGTGTTCAAAAGCTCCTGATCTGACACAGCCTTGTCAGATGCAAGTTCTAGTAGTCAGGACATTTACTGTCATTTTTGTAAGTAAAATAACACACCTTAATCATGTATGCAGATCAGGCCGTAAGTCATTTGCGTAGTGCATCCCTGTTCCCAGACCTGTAATTTAACAGGTGTGCTTGGGCCTGAAAGGGGAATTCACTGGGTCTCCCACTGACTCTGGTACTGCTCGCTCTTTCTTTCGTTCTTTCTTTCGTTCTTTCTTTCATTCGCTTGTTCTCGCTCTCTCTTGTTTTCTCTCTCTCTCTTCCTCTCTCTCGCTCTTTTCTTGTTCTCTCTCTCTTTCCCCCTCTCTCTATTTCCC